CAGCACTCAATTCCCCATTTCCATTATCTTAAAAACAAAAAAAAAATAAGCTGAGCGGTGATAGGGCACACCTTTAATCCCAGCACTCAGGAGGCAGAGGCAGGAGGATCTCTGTGTGTTGGATGCCAGCCTGGTCTACAGAGCACATTCCAGGACAGGCTCCAAAACTACACAGAGAAACCCTGTCTTGAAAAGCAAAAAAACAAAAACAAAAACAAACAAACAAACAAACAAAACAACAACAAACCCCCCCCAAAAGCAATAGAACAAAAACAAACAAACAAACAAAAACTGGTGATCAAATTATAAAAGGACTTTCCAGACTTTTTAAATCTCTTAGCAGTTTTGCTGAACTTTCTAGAAAGCCTATACCTTGGACTTCATATACAAAACTCTCAATGAGTTTTTAATTAATTAATCAATTAAATGGTTTTCAATACATCCCAATGGTAGTTTCCCCTCCCTTCATTCTTCCCATCCCCAACCCTACCCTACCTCTTCTCTTCCCCAAATCCATCCCTCCTCTGTTTCCCTCCAGAAAAGACCAGACCTACCAGGAATATCCACTGAACATGGCATAGAAAGATAAGACTAGGCACAAACCCTCATATCAAAGCTGAGTGAGGCAATCCAGTAGGAGTAAAGGGGTCTCAAGAGCAATCAAATGTGTCAGAGGCACCCCAACTCCCACTGTTAGGGGCCACGCAAGTTCACCAAGATAATAACCAGAATATATAAGCAGATGACATAGGCCAGACCTATGCAGGTTCCGTGATTGCTGCTTCAATATCTGTGGACTCTGATAAGCCCTACTTATTTGAAGTCTGTGGGCCACGTTCTTCTGGGGTTCTCGACAACTTTGACTCCTACAATTCTTCCTTCTCCTCTTCTGTATGGTTCCCCAGCTCCAAGGGGAGGGACCCAGTGTAGATCTTCAATTTGGGCTCTGTGGTGGTTTGAAAGAAAATAGCCCCCAAAGGGAGCTATTTAGGAGATATGAACTTGTTGGAGGAAATGTGTCAGTATGGGGATGGACTTTGAGGTCTCTTTTGCTCAAGCTTCCCTCTGTGTGACAGTCAGTCAACTTCCTGTTGCCTCTGAGTCAAGATGTAGAACTCTCAGCTCCAGTACCACATCTGCCTGCATACCACCATGCTCCCCACGATAATGATAATAGAGTGAACCTCTGAACTTTAAGTGAGTCCCCTCAATTAAATGTCTCTTTAAAACAATAAAGCAATAAGAACCTAAGGCAGTCTCTCTGACTGCCTAATGTTTGATGTGGTTCTCTGTATTTGCTCACATCAACCGTCTTTGGTAGCCTCTTTGATGATGATTGGGCTAGGCACTGATCTCTGAGTATTTATTGATATCATTAGGAATCATTTTATTGATATTTTTTCTATCATAGGTCTCTGATTCCTGGTCATCAAGGCACTGTTAGGCATGGGCTCCCTCTTATGAATGGGCCTCAAGTTAGACCAGTCATTGGTTGCCCTTGCCTACAAGTTCTGTGCCTCCATTTTCTCAGTACATCTTGCATGCTGGATAGATAAAAGGTTGAACATTTTGTGGCTGGGTTGGTGTCTCAGTCACACCCCTGTAAGCCTTGCCTGGTTACAGACGATGGCCAGTTCAGGATCTGAATCCTTCATTACCAGGGGTCCTCACTTGGGTCACTCTTATAGAATTCTGAGAGTTTCTGCTGCACCAGGTTTCCACAACAACCTAACCATCTCGAAATGCCCAGGGTAACTGTTGTTGGAGGCAAGGTCTCCATACATAGTTTAAGTTGGTTTGGGGAGCAGGATTCTCTTGTCTCCATTTCCCAGGTGCTGGAATAGGTGTGCAACACCACGCCCAGTTTGGGGTGACTTTGCACACATTACAATTACACCCATTTTTCATGCCTGATTCCATGTCATCTCATAATGGTATGAAGTCATTACTGTACCAGGACACAGAAAAGCAGTCGTGTGTCACATTCCAAATGTCTCCCTCTATCTTTTAGGCAGGTTCTCCTTCCACAGCCGGACCCTGACTACCACTTGTCTGCTCTGTGTCTTTATAGCTTTGTCTTTCTAGAAGGCCACTGAAGCTTCAGATGCTTTGGTAGCTGCACTTGGTATTCCATGCAAAGTTTTCAGCTGGGAGAGACAGAGAGGCTTCCAGCCTGTTCCGTGTTGACTGATGTGGCTATTCTCTCCTGAATTTGGAGAAACCATTATTTATTTTCTCCTGTATTATGTTAATCATGTAATATATTATGGAAAAGTTACTTTGATGGATTTTCAAATGTTGAATCAGCCTGGTATGCAAAGAGAAATCTCATTTGGTTATATTTATAATACTGTTTTGGATTCAATTTGCCAGTGTTGTTGAGAATTTATACTGATGAGAAATACTGCATTGTACTTTTCTTGCTTATAGCTTAATTACTTGTCTAGTTTTCATAGCAGAAAAATGCCAGTCTCAGAGACTATGCTGGGAAATGTCCTTCACTCTTACTTGTTATAGAGGAAATTTTAGAGTCGATATTGATTTTTTTATATACTGCTTTGGCAGAGCTTATTGATAAAACATTTGAGCTTGGACTTTTCTTTAAGATTTACTCATTTGCATGGAAATAGTTATAATTCTTGAAGTTTGAAGAGTAATTTTTGAGTGCTATATGGTATGGAGTCCATGTATGACAAATCCACATGCTTACAGAGAGTTGTTATTTCATAATTAATCTGCATTTCCCCATAGAAATGGATCATTATATAATAAGGCTACAAAGTTAGACTACTTTAAAAGTAGAGCTTTCCTTTAACTCAATTAACTACATGGTTGCTTTTGTTTGATAGGACATTTCTTTTTACTTTGTTTTTCTGATCATTTACCTTTGCTTTTCCCTAATTTTAAAGCTCCATAGAATCCAAAGGAATTGGCAGACCAGAATTACTTTTATTACTTGGATGAAATAGTAGCATCACTTCAGCCAGATCCACTTGTCCATACCAACACTGTACTCAAGGTGGTACTCCCTGTCAATTAGTGTTCTGAGTCAGTCTGGAACTGGTGAGTTCCAGTCATGATTCCCAGGAGATGAGCAAGACCATTTCAACTTATTATCCATTACAACTTATCCCAAAACAGCACTTTTAGGCTGTCAAAAAGTTATAATGATTTTCACCAAGCCCATATTGCTCTGTGTCAGATTGAAGGTATTCAATACAACGAACCACCTCTTCCACAGCCGGAGCTTCCTTTGAGTTGTAGAGAGTCACAGTTTTCACTCAGTCATGGAGAAAGGTTTTCTTACATGTGTTCTTGATGTTCTGAAGATAGTTTAATTTTTCATCTCACGTGGATTTCATTTCAACTCTACATACCTTGCATACACACAAGATGTAGGTCACCAGGTGGTGATCTGTCATCTTTTTCAGCTTTTTTAGTGATACGCACAAGCCATGTATGTATATCCCCTTCAGATAAACAAAGTCATCATGGATAGGGTACTGTAAAATGAAGTCTTGTTCTATGCTTTCCAGTATCCCCTGAGGGCTTTGTACAAACAGTTATATAACCAGGACTTTAGGATTAATTGTTACCATTATCGCTTTTGAGATCATGATAAATTTTGCTTAAGTCAAGCCTTTACAAAACTCCATGTTAGTTTTTTTACTTCTTCTTGCTGTCTATGTAATGTGTTATGGGTTCAAAGAAGTGCTTTAAGCCTAGATGCTCTGATATTTCTTTTGACAGTGTGCTTCTTCAGACACAGATTGCTATCTGTGGTTATTGTTTTGCTTCATTCTACCAGATTTTTTGTTGCCCTTTGACCTTGTGTAAACACCAAAGGTCTAGACTACAGGTTGCATTGTACAACCTATGGTTTGAGTACTGGCCACGAGGTCACATCTGTGCTGAGGCAATGAACACAAGAAGCCAGTCCTGGGAGAGGTCCTGTTATACAATTGGCTAAAGTTTTAGGACCCCAGGAAATATGGTCATAAAGATGACTTTGATGAAAAATTAAGCTTCTAGTTCAGTTTTTAAAATTAGGAATACTTGGGTAATTTAATTCTTATTAATTCAATGAACTTCAATGGTATGTGTCTTTTGGTTAGTTTTTCCACTCCCATCTAAGCTATGAAATTTATGTGTACAAAACTACATAATATTCTCTTACTGTTCTTTTAGGTCTCAGGTTGCTGTAATGAAAATTCTACCGGGCGGTGGTGGTGCACGCCTTTAATCCCAGCACTGGGGACGCAGAGGTAGAGGCAGGCGGATCTCTGTGAGTTCGAGTTAACAAAAGGAATTTTAATAAAACCCAGACTTTTACACAGAGAAAACCCTGTCTCTAAAAAAAAAAAAAAAACAAAAAACAAAAAAAAGAATAAAAAGAGAAAATTCCATTTTCATTTATTATATTGATACTTGCTGCTTATTGATAATTCTAAATAGAAGTTTATAATATTATTGATGTTTTCAAAGAACATACATTTAGATTCATTGATTATTGCCTCCCCCATTTCCAATGACATTGGTTTCTGTTCTTTATTATTTTTCCATCTATCTGATTTGTACTCATTTCCCCCTTTCATTTCCAGGTTCCTATAGTGGGGCTTACAATTTTTGAGATACTTCTTATTTTCATTTCATATTTAACATTATTTTTTCTAAATATTGATTTAGCCAAATCACAATTTTTCTGATAGACTCACCTCAATTTAAATTATGGAGTTTCTCTAGTGACAATTGCTTAAATTACTTACCAAAACACTGTTCAATTCTTTGATATTTGTGGATTTCCCAGATAGCTTTCTGTTATTTATTTCTAGTTAAATTAGATTTGAATAGTGAGGGCAGTTTAAAAGAAAATGGCCCCCATAGGGTGTGGGGCCTAGTTGGAGTAGGTGTGGCCTTGTTGGAAGAAGTGTGTCACTGTGGAGGCAGGCTTTGAGGTCTCATATATGCTCAAGCCATTCCTAGTGAGACAGTTCACTTACTGTTGCCTGCAGATCAAGATTAAGAATTCTTAGGTCCTTCTCCAGCACCATGTCTGTCTTTGTGCCATCATTATAATACTGGAACCTCTGAAACTGTAAGCCACCCCAATTAAATGTTTCTTTTACAAGAGTTGCCTTGGTCATGGTATCTCTCCACTGGAACACAAACCCTAACTATGACAATCAGAGAATGTACTTGATATAGTTTATATATTTTTTAAACTTTGGTATGCATTTTACTGTTCAAAAATTTTATCAGTCATTATAAATTTATTTAAATATTCTCATCATTAATAAATAATCTGATTTGTTGAATATTTGAAAGTGAAGGATTTTTCTTTTACTGAAAATAGATTTTTTTCATGTAATTTTTTCATGTAACACTGATTGTTTTGTTTCCTTTCCCTCTACTAATGCCTGTTCCTCCTTACCCTCCCTCCCATTTAAATCCACCCCCTTTGGGTCTCTCATTAGAAAACAAATAGCCATCTAAGGGATAATAATGAAATAAAATATAATAAGACAAAACAAAACTAACACATCAGAACAGGATAGAAACAAACAAACAGAAGGAAAAAGGCACAAGAAAAGGCACAAGAAATAGCTATAGGCAAAGAGACCCAGTCATTCACATACTCAGGAACCCCATAAAAACACAGAACTCAAAGCCATAAGAGATACTTAAAGCGGGGCTGGAGAGATGGCTCAGAGGTTAAGAGCACTGACTGCTCTTCCAGAGGTCCTGAGTTCAATTCCCAGCAACCATATGGTGCCTCACAACCATCCATTATGAGAGCTGGTGCCCTCTTCTGGTGTGCAGATACACATGGAAGCAGAATGTTGAATACACAATAAATAAATAAAATAAAAAAGAGATACTTAAAGCATTTGTAGCATAAAAGAAGAGAAAAATGAAGATAAAAAGCATTAAAAAGAAAAAGAAAGACAAAGAGAAAGCTCTGACACAGCATTATGAGACAAGAAACTGTCAAAGATGCTGTTGAGTTTATTTTCTGTTGGCTATCTGCTGCACATGAGGCCTTAACCTTAACAATAGTTTGTTTGCTACATAAAATATCTTGGGGTAACTCTAACCAAACAAGTGAAAGACCTGTATGAAAAGAACTTTAAGTCTTTGAAGAATGAAATTGAAGAGGGTATCAGACCATGGAAAGATCTCCCATGCTCTTGGATAGGCAGGATTAACAGTAAAAAAAATGGTAATCTTACCAAAAGCAATGTGCGGATTCAATGTAGTTCCCACCAAAATCCCAGCACAATTCTTCACAGACAGACCTCGAAAGAACAATACTCAACTTCATATGGAAAAACAAAAACCCAGGATAGCCAAACAGTCCTGTACAATAAAGGAACTTCTGGAGTCATCACAATCCTTGACTTCAAACTCTATTTTAGAGCTATAGTAATGAAAATAGCTTGGTATTGGCAAAAAAAACAGACAGGTGGGCCAATGGAATAGAATCAATGACCCTGATATAAATCCATACATCTATGAACACTTGATTTTTGACAAAGAAGCTATACAATGGAAAGAAGAAATGGTGCTGGCATAACTGGATGCTGACATGTAGAAGAAGGCAAATAGATCCATATCTATCCTCACGCATAAATCTTAAGTCAAAATGGATCAAAAACCTCAACATAAATCCAACCACACTGAACCTCATAGAAAAGAAAGTGGGAAGTAGCCATGACCTTGAATGCATTGGCACAGGAGACTCCTGAACATAACACCAGTAGCACAGACACTGAGGTCAACAATTAATAAATGTGACCTCCTGAAACTGAGGAGCTTCTGTAAGGCAAAAGACACAGTCTACAAGACAATATGGCAGCCTATGTACAGAATGGGAAAAGATCTCCACCAACTTTACATATGACAGAGGGCTGATCTCCAAATTATACAAAGAACGCAAGAAACTAGACACCAAATAGTCCAGTTAAAAAATGAGGTTCAGATATAAACAGAGAATTATCAACAGAAGAAACTCAAGTGACTAAAAGACATTTAAGGACTTTCTCAACATCTTTAGCTATCCTGGAAATGAAATCAATACAACTCTGAGATACCATCTTACACCTGTCAGAATGGGTAAGATCAAAAAACTATGATGACAGCTTCTGCTGGAGAGGATGTGGAGAAAGGGGAGTGCTCCTCCATTGCTGGTGGGCGTGCAAATTTGTACAGCCATTTTGGAAATCTCAGAAAATTGGGAGTCAATCTACCTCAATTTCTGTCAATACCTTTTATGGGCATATACCCAATGGATCCAGACTCACACCACAAAGACATTTGCTCAACTATGTTCATAGCAGCATTATTCATAAAGCCAGGACCTGGAAATAACTTAGATGCCCCTCAATCAAAGGATGGATAAAGAAAATGTGGTACATTTACACAATGGAGTACTACTTAGTGGAAAAAAACAATGACACCTTGAAATTTGCAGGCAAATGGACAGAATTAGAAAAAAAAATCCAAACCCGCTATGAGTGAGGTAACCTAGACCTAGAAAGACAAATATGGTATGTACTCACTTATAAGTGGATATTAGGCATAAAGCAAAGAATAACCAGCCTACAGTCCACAACCCTTGAGAAGTTAGGTAACAAAGAGGACCCTAAGAGAGAGAGATACGTGGATCCATCTAGGAAGGGTAAATAGACAAGATCTCCTTAGCAAATTGGGAATGTGGGTGCAGGGGAGAGGCTGGAAGGGAACAGGGGTAGAGGGAAGGGGGTGGAGGAGTACATGAAGGAACAGGATAATCAAGTTGGGAGAAGGATAGAAATGGGGAGCAAAGAAAGAGATATCTTGATAGAGGGGGCCATTATGGGATTAGTGAAAAGCCTGGCACCTGGCACTAGGGAAATTCCAGGAATACACAAGGATGACCCGAGATAAAACTATAGCAGTAGTGAAGAAGGTACCTGAATTTTTCTTCCCCTGTGATCAGACTGAGGACTACTGTAATTGTCATCACAGGCTGAGCTACTGGAGTCCAGGAGAAGAGAAAGAGGAGCCATGATATGAGCAAAGGCATCAAGACCATGATGAGGAAACCCACAGAAACAGCTGACCTAAGCTAGTGGGAGCTCACTGACTCTGGACTGACAACTGGAGAACCTGCTTAGGACAGAACTAGGTCCCCTGAATGCAGGTTGCAGTGGGTGTCTTGGGCAGTTTGTGGGGCCACTGGCAGGGGGACCAGGATCCATTGCTAGTGCTCGAACTGACTTTTTGGAGCCCATTTCCTATTCTAGGCACATGTGGGAGGGCCTTGGTCCTGCCTCAATGTAGTAGTGATCAGACAGACTTTATTGACTCCCTATGGGAAGTCTAACATTCTCCGCTGAGCAGATGGGGGTGGGGTGAGAAGAAGTTGGGGAAAGCAGGACAAATAGGGAGGAAGTAGAGATTAGTATGTGTGGGAAAAAATGTTAGTATAGTGAAAGTTTCTAATGGGTTATCTCCAGTCCATGTTAGATGGAATTTGTTTGATTGAAGATCTAGGTTGAAATCCTCAACTTGATTGAAGTCAGTGCTTGAAGCTCTGGTCAGAGTTTCAGTTGAAACAGAGTAAGTTGGATCCAGTGCAGTCGAAGAGGTATGGCCCAATTCCTTTTCTGGAGCATCCAGGGATTGTCGTCAGGAGGGTCTTCATTGGCTATATGGGACTCAAGTATAAGTGTTAGCAAAGAAATGTTTGCTTGCATATGTATGTATGCTGGGAAAGGCAACCATGGGAAAATGACAATTATGAGAGGGTGTAGGCCTTGAAAGAAAGAGCCAAGAAAAGACAAAAATTAGTCCTCAAATTCTTCATTTATTCTGTATTACATCAATTGGCTTCTTGATATAATACAGAAACTCTAAAATTTAGTTAAACAATATGCTTGGATTTTAGGGGAGGAAACCAAATCCAACTCTAAATCCAGCATTGATTTAATTGAATGGGGACTAGGAAATGAAGAGAAATAGAGTTATTTGAGAGACAGCTGTAAAGTTTACCGTCTGGCATATTCCTTTTGTTTGATGGTTATAGCTACCTTCTCTTCTTAAATATCTACCCATGAAGTGTCCTTTGCCTTCTGGAGATGACTTTTCCTAGTTTTTCTGTGAAGATAAAAACAAAGCACTTCCCTTTTCTTTGGGAGGCTTTCATTTAGTTTATGAGATATACCTCAGTAAATACCTGTCAGTTGTCCTTGTCGAGAGGGTTGTCATTTTTAACTTGAATCTTGACCAATTTTGATGGTATCCAAAGTTTTTCAAAAGATAAAGAAAAAAGTAAAAAAATAATGACTAATATCTAGGCAATAATCTCCACACACACACACACACACACACACACACACACACACACACAGTAGTTTGTTTGGCTGGGTGGTGGTAAGGCAGCAATTAGGAGGCAGAAACAGGTGGATCTCTGTGAGTTCGGGGCCAGCCTGGTCTACAGAGCAAGTTCCAGGACAGGCTCCAAAGCTACGGAGAAACCCTGTCTCAAAAAACAAACTAACAAACAAACAAACAAAAAATGTAGTTTGTTTGTTTCCCCAGTGAGACTCTTTTGGAGGAAACTGTATTTTCATTTGCCAGTGGTTATTAATTGTTTTAGGGACACAGTATGACCTATATTGGTGACTATTTTATGTGCACTTGAAAAAAAAGTGTTTACTCATTTTAAAAATGGAAATAATTATTAACTGGCCTCAAGGGGCTTTTTGAAGAATCAATGATGTAATGTTTATAAGAGTTTAAGGATTTTTCACATATGGGAAGAACCAAAATAAAACCAAAAAAATTCTGTATTTTTAATTTTATGATTGTTTTCTTCTCCACCCAAGAACACACTATGACTTAACATTCTTTTTTGGTAGTCTTTTTTCAAAGTAAACATTTACCTCATTAGAACCTAATTTTTGCTGGCTAAATTTGTTCCTAGCTATGTCTTCTGCCTACTGTAGTAAAAATACTTTGTAGAATATCACTTATTACCTCTGATACATGAGATCTGTAAAATCTACTA